AAAACCCAAGTTCTGGAACAAGTACACGCAAAACCCAAGTTCTGGAACAAGTACACGCAAAACCCAAGTTCTGGAACAAGTACACGCAAAACCCAAGTTCTGGAACAAGTACACGCAAAACCCAAGTTCTGGAACAAAAAGCTTTAAAATGGAACGACTGTCCACGTGATTGGTTTAATTACAATTGCTATTGGCTCTCTGATCGACCCAGTTGGTATCAGGTAATATCCTAGAAAGTAAAGGTTAGTGTTTGCCTGACCATTGATCTATAAAACCAATCGAGCGCCATGTGCGCCATACGCCACTATTGTTGCAAAAGGGTCTAGTAATCTGGCTGTTTGGTGACTCCGCCCACTGATATAGGCACTGATCGATGTTTGTACTTTCATTGAAATTATGTAGAAAGAAAAGGCTGAAACGGAAGGGTGTGCACTAGTGTGTACGCGCGCGCGAACACACAAACACACGCGCGCACATTCTTAAGGATGTATCATAAATTGCAGCATACAAGTCGACCCAGTGTGCCGGTCAACGCGCGATGTTTTAGATCCAGATTCTGAATTAGGACTGTACCTGCGTGAACACATTTCTTCTTTCTTCCGTGTGACGTGGATGTGTCTGTTTACAGCAGAGCTGCGACATCTGCGCTTTTTCGGCACATCCGAATTCATCGAGCATTTGTCAACTGGGTAAACTCCCCAGAAACACATTATACATGCCATATGTTCACTGGTTTTTTTTTTAAAGCATTTTTAGGCTTTTGAAATTTTGATTTTTACCTCGCAATTTATAGTATAAAATTCCGGATTTGCTTGGTTAGCCAACCCTTTACTTTTGAATATGGTCTTTTGGAAAGTTATGCATCAGTGATTTGAATATTTCTTCAGTTTTTGTGCCATTTGTGTCAGTGATATTGCCTACTTTCCTAGCGATTGATTAACTGTTTCACCAACTCCACCTTCTCTTATGTCTGCTTATACTCTTTGGGCAGTAAATTCAGTTGGTGTTTGTGGTGACATTAATTTCTGCTGGGAGACCTAGGCCAGAGTAGTATTATGTGCATTCATAGTGTATTGTATAATCAATAAGCCTGTAGTTTTATTGGTGCAGAACGTGTAACACAAGTAGGTTAGGTTCTCTTACACGTTTAATTTTTATATGTGTATATGTATATATATGTATGTATATATATGTGTGTGTGGGTGTGTGTGTGTAGGTGGGTGTGTAGGTGGGTGTGTGGGTGTGTGTGTAGGTGGGTGTGTGTGTGTAGGTGTGGGTGTGTGTGTAGGTGGGTGTGTGTGGGTGGGTGTGTGTGTGTGTGTATATATATATTTGACTGTGGTACTTTCTAAATAGCCCACAAACAGGGGAAATCCACAGGTCACGGAAAAGTCCAGTATTTCAGAGGGTGGATAGTTTTGTAATTTAACATTTCATTTGCTGTGCAGTTTTCAGTTATGTGTGCTGTGCAGTGTTTTGCTGTGCATTTATTGTATGCCTAACTTGTGTGTTTTTTTTTAAAATTAATCTTTGCACTTGAATCAAAAGCTGTATTTAGGACTTCTAATAGTAAGGCCATAGTGAGTGTAATGAAATCTTCACCATACACTTGCTGGCACAAAGTCAAGATGGTCTGACAACCAGGACTTCCCTCCTGATCTTACAGCCAGTGAACAAAGAAATAAATAGTATATTAAACACATTTTGAAATGAATTGTTTCTGTTACACTTTTTAGACTCGGAATATTTGCTTAAACTTCACATTGACTCTTGTGGGAAATGGCAGATGATCTTCTAACACTTTTTTGAAGTGGTTTGTGAACTAGGTTAACTGAGGATCATCCGTTTGTTCCTGCTCTTATCTTGTCAGTGTGCCCTTGTTTGTGCGAGACAGCAGTTGTTTGCTGGGAAATGTTCACTGGTGTTTTGGTTTATCTGCGTACACTTTGTCATGAATATATTTAAAGAATAGCAAACTGTAGGTTGACATCTTCATAGTTTGTCTGCAAATGGAGGGGGTGAATCCGGAATAATTTGTTTCTTTGCATATGTTTACTCTGGTAGCATATTTAGCTGTCATTTTACCAGTTCCACATAAGTGTTGTATCTTTAGCTTACTGAACATTTCAAGCCATAAGTTTTGGTTTATCTTTGTTTCACTATGTAAGTAGATTTATATGTCCATTTTCAACTCATTAAATGTAGCTTTCAATATTGCTCTATTTTAGTATAATTTTCATAACAGCTCTTTTTTTTCACTCACCCTGGTCAAGTTTCACTTGGTTGGTTTGTGAGGCTTGGATCTAGGACATAAAGGCTAGGTTCAGGTGTATAATGGAGAGGTATGGGGATAGCCAGTGTCAAGAGTGGAGAGGGGACATCAGAAGCCATCACCCAAATGTGCACAATGTTTTACCCCATAATAGGTTTTTGAAGAACATGGCTCTCCACAGAACGACTAGCTGACTGCCGAGAATGCTGCACACAGCACATCTTCACCCACGATCCCCAATGATCTGGCTAAAAATTGTATGAACTACAATGATGAAGCTGGTGAAATGAAGACATCACCTTAAGAGCATGTAGCAAATAGCTTGACCACTTCTTCAGAGACCCATGGGACCACCACATAATCTTTAATTACTGTGGAATTAACTATAAGTTCAGTGATTAAGTTTTTTTCCTTCTCTTATATCATAGTCCTTACATTACCTTTGAACTCATTAGTGAGCCCCATAGTCCCGTTATTAATTTTTTACTAATTTAAACTAGAACTTTAAACTAGTTTAGCTAAATAGGAAAAGTAATTATAATTTGAAAGTTCAACCTTCCTGTAGTAAACGGTGCACATTTCTCAAATTACATTGAATTGTCTGCCGGTTTGGGTTCTGGGGCCCCATTGTGTGGAAACGAACTGCCTCCCCCACAAGCATGTTGTAAGAGTCGACTAGGGCTTCTTCGAAGTTGGAGTGCATCTACCTGTGAGACAAGGAACCAGCAATCTGCATACAATTAAGACATATCTGTTAAACGGATGTGCACGCAACACTCAGGTTCTGGGCCAGAAGTGAACAAACAACCAGAACTTTTCACCAGAGGTTACAGCCAGTAAACGTGAAGAAGATTTAATTGTGCTGTCTCAGCAATGGTTTGATGCATTGGTTAAGTATATCCACAATGTCCTTGGAAATACATGGTGAGACCCAAACTCTTCCATGGTGTGACTTATGCTACTTTGCTACTGTATGCTGCTATGCTTCTGTTCAAAAGCCACAAGAAATGTTCCCTGCCCACCATAGCAATCAGTCTTTGGAACATCAGTTTATTTTGTGAGCAAAGTTTCACTAATCTCTAAGCTCCATTTCCATCTCTAAGCTCCATTTCCATCTCTAAGCTCCATTTCCATCTCTAAGCTCCATTTCCATCTCTAAGCTCCATTTCCATCTCTAAGCTCCATTTCCATCTCTAAGCTCCATTTCCATCTCTAAGCTCCGTTTCCATCTCTAAGCTCCGTTTCCATCTCTAAGCTCCGTTTCCATCTCTAAGCTCCGTTTCCATCTCTAAGCTCCGTTTCCATCTCTAAGCTCCGTTTCCATCTCTAAGCTCCGTTTCCATCTCTAAGCTCCGTTTCCATCTCTAAGCTCCGTTTCCATCTCTAAGCTCCGTTTCCATCTCTAAGCTCCGTTTCCATCTCTAAGCTCCGTTTCCATCTCCTCTCTAAGCTCCGTTTCCATCTCTAAGCTCCGTTTCCATCTCTAAGCTCCGTTTCCATCTCTAAGCTCCGTTTCCATCTCTAAGCTCCGTTTCCATCTCTAAGCTCCGTTTCCATCTCTAAGCTCCGTTTCCATCTCTAAGCTCCGTTTCCATCTCTAAGCTCCGTTTCCATCTCTAAGCTCCGTTTCCATCTCTAAGCTCCGTTTCCATCTCTAAGCTCCGTTTCCATCTCTAAGCTCCGTTTCCATCTCTAAGCTCCGTTTCCATCTCTAAGCTCCGTTTCCATCTCTAAGCTCCGTTTCCATCTCTAAGCTCCGTTTCCATCTCTAAGCTCCGTTTTCCATCTCTAAGCTCCGTTTCCATCTCTAAGCTCCGTTTCCATCTCTAAGCTCCGTTTCCATCTCTAAGCTCCGTTTCCATCTCTAAGCTCCATTTCCATCTCTAAGCTCCATTTCCATCTCTAAGCTCCATTTCCATCTCTAAGCTCCATTTCCATCTCTAAGCTCCATTTCCATCTCTAAGCTCCATTTCCATCTCTAAGCTCCATTTCCATCTCTAAGCTCCATTTCCATCTCTAAGCTCCATTTCCATCTCTAAGCTCCATTTCCATCTCTAAGCTCCATTTCCATCTCTAAGCTCCATTTCCATCTCTAAGCTCCATTTCCATCTCTAAGCTCCATTTCCATCTCTAAGCTCCATTTCCATCTCTAAGCTCCATTTCCATCTCTAAGCTCCATTTCCATCTCTAAGCTCCATTTCCATCTCTAAGCTCCATTTCCATCTCTAAGCTCCATTTCCATCTCTAAGCTCCATTTCCATCTCTAAGCTCCATTTCCATCTCTAAGCTCCATTTCCATCTCTAAGCTCCATTTCCATCTCTAAGCTCCATTTCCATCTCTAAGCTCCATTTCCATCTCTAAGCTCCATTTCCATCTCTAAGCTCCATTTCCATCTCTAAGCTCCATTTCCATCTCTAAGCTCCATTTCCATCTCTAAGCTCCATTTCCATCTCTAAGCTCCATTTCCATCTCTAAGCTCCATTTCCATCTCTAAGCTCCATTTCCATCTCTAAGCTCCATTTCCATCTCTAAGCTCCATTTCCATCTCTAAGCTCCATTTCCATCTCTAAGCTCCATTTCCATCTCTAAGCTCCATTTCCATCTCTAAGCTCCATTTCCATCTCTAAGCTACATTTCCATCTCTAAGCTACATTTCCTTAATTTACTAGTTTACTAATTTAAATTAATTTAATTTCAGAGTAAGCCAGCAAAGTTACAAAAGTCAAAATGATCAACTCTTCATTCCGATTTGTCCGTTCCTACGTTGGACCAGTCAAAGCCTGCATTCTGGACTGGAGTGGTACCACAGCTGACAAATATGTCCTGGCACCAGCCGTTGTCTTTGTTGATGTCTTCAAGAAGCACAAAGTCCCCATCTCCATGCAGGAGTCCAGGGGGCCAATGGGCCTGCGCAAAGATTTGCATATTAAGGTACATTTTTTTTTTTTTTTTACTGAACATTGTTTGTGCACACTTCACTCTTGGTCATACTTCACTTCAGTATGTGTAAATAGGGGGTGACTGCAGTCCTGCTGTTTGCAAGAATGCTACATATATTTTAGTTGCTTATCCTTTACAGGACATTGCAGAACCAACCCCAGTACTTTCTGGCTGTTGTGGTTTTTCTAGGCAAATTTACATCAAGTAGTTTGCCATTGCTTTCTGGATGGTCATCTCTTGGTACCATGGTCGAAACCATCGCAAAACAAACCGTCTGCAGCTGGGATCAAACCCGGCACCCTGGCATTACGAAACGCGTTCACAACGCCTAAGCCACATACACCAACATATAACATACAAAAATTATGTTGAGCTTGGTTTTTCATTAGCTCTGTCGTCCTGTTGTCCGTTGAGTTTTTCAGTCAGTTTGTGCTGTATTTAGTACTCCTTTGGTAAAGACTTTAGTGGATAGTGGAAACGTTCAGTTGTGTTTATGTGCGTCTATTTTAATCATTGAGCTTTCTAGTCACATTTTCTGTTTAGCATTTCTTTAAATATGTATAGTCATACTGTTTTTGGCAGTAATGTACATAAAGATGAGGAACAAATACATTATTATTACTATAAAAGCATGGGTTTTCATGGCACTAGGAAATCTGGGAAGTCAAGTTATCTTTATTTTCATTGTTGAGTACTAGGCATAAAGTGAAGTAGAAATTTAAAAAAAAAGTAAAAGACCCTTTTTCTACACCATTATACATATTGGGGACTACACTTTTTTTTTTTTAGACCAATCAGCATCGGTGGGTTGTGTGGTCATCACGCCAGCAGTCTTTACTTTCCAGGACTTCACCTGATACAAATTTAAAGATGGGAGACAAACAAGTTTTATAACAAAGTGTCTGTCGGTGTAAATCATAATGCGGATACAAGAAGCATGAATGTAACCAAAGCTACTCCACTACATTAAGTTTAAAACTGTGCTCCTATGTTTGTTTGGGAGCTTGCTAGTGCTGTGCCTTGTTTTTTAAAAAAGGTGTCATTTGGCTCTCTTCTTTAAAGTGTACTGACCATCAAAAAGCAGATTCTTTGCATAATTCTCATTATGGCTTGTCAAGGCACACTATCAACTGTTAGCTCCTCCAACCCATCCTTCTTGTTTTTGTTAGTGCAACCCCAGCTTCTACAAACATGTTTATTACTGTCCATTCTTCTGTGTGTTCCTTGAAAGTGTTGGCGTTTACATCTGTTCTGTAAAAATATGCTGAGATCAATAAACACCTAATTATTGCCTTTTACATGCTTGTTGGAAGAGTGGTGAGCTGCTTGTTAGGGGGCATGCGTATCTCCTCACCCCTTCCCAGCCCCAGCTTTTATTCCACAATGTGGCAGTGGAATCCACATGGGTAGTTGTCCTTTCTAAACCACTATTTCATATGGCCCAGATATTTGTTCTCAGTACATGCTGCAACACTCCCAGCCTTTAGTGGGTATCAGGTGCAGTCTTGGGAAGTCAAGGTGACTGACATGTTGGCCACATCACCCACCAAGTGCCAATTGATCTATAAAATAGACGTATATAGCCTTATATGCCCAATATGTCCCAAGGTGTACAAAGGATCCCTACTTAACTTTAACTCACATCCTGGAGTTTATGAGCCTTTTGCATTTTTATAGAATTCTGCTTCTTGATTCAGTCTCTATTTTGCCCTGGGTTCTTGCAATCTTTGTCACATTCTGTGCATGTGTGATCTGTGCAATGGTCTATAACTGGCAGAATTATACATTTATTTCTGGATTTCTGAACTTTTAACCTCTCCACAACCTGTGATTTCTAAAATGTATCAGTTCATACCATAAAATGCTGTCAGGAATCTTTTGTCTTCTTTTTTCACTTAAAATATCAAATGTTCCATTACTTCTCATAAAATGACCAAACATTGGACTGTCTCATCTTTGAACTCTTATCTTTTTATGTGGATTACTCATTTTGGCTGCCCAGAGAATTCCTTTTTCTTCTCTAAAACCACATTTCTGAGGTTTCCAAAAATTGTTTTGCTTATTAACTGTCAAGGATTTACATCCATATTTTAAAACTAGCTCTGTAACATGCAAGGATCTTTTTCTAACCATCATTAGTGATTTGTGTCAGTAGTGAACTGTCCACAGATCCTATATTAAGATAGTCCATCGATTTTTTTTTTTTTTTTTTTTTTTTTTTTTTTTTTTTTTTTTTTTTTTTTTTTTTTTTTTTATATTGATACTAGTGAACTGTCCTCAGATTCTGTATTCATAAGTGAACTATTCTGGGACATTCCAGAGGTGGACAAAACCTGGACCTTTTTGTCTGAATTTACAGCCGGTAAATGTGAGAATGTTCATACCAGTAGACTTTCAGTGGATCCTATATTTATACTATTTCACTGTCAGCCTATCCAATGTTCATACTAGTGAACTGTTCAGCAGGTTCTGTGATACTATTGAACTAGCCTTAACACAGCACATAATTTTGATATATTGGTGGCATGATTTTTCAGTATTGATACTGCAAAATATCCTTGGTTTAGTCATGGCACCATCCACAGTGGGAAGTCGCCGTGGCAGAGCGGCTAGACGTGCGCCGCGGATCGGAAGGTCGTGGGTTCGCTCCCTGGCGGAGACGGACTTTTCTTCAAAAATGACCTTGGCTCCCAGGTCGACCCAGTCTTGAGTGGGTACCGGGTGCAATCCCGGGAAGTAGAGGCGGCCGGCGTGATGCTGACCACATCACCCATCTTGTGCCGTTGGTCTATAAAAATATAGGTCTAGCCCTATATGTCCTATACGCCTAAAGGCGTGGAAAGGGTCCTTTACTTTTTACTTACTTACCATCCACAGTATCCGTTTCTATTCATTCACAGGCTATCACTGAACTGCCAGAAGTCAGACGTAGATGGAAGGAGGTCCACGGCAAATACCCAGACCAGACCGATGTGGACAAAATGTTCAAGGACTTTGTCCCCATGCAGATTGAAGTTTTGGCCAAATACTCTGAGCTGATCCCAGGCACTGTTGAGGCTGTACGCACCCTTCGCAGCGAGCTGGGCTGCAAGATCGGAGTCACCACTGGCTTCACAAGGAGCATGGTGGATGTCTTGTTGGCTGAAGCCAAGAAACAAGGGTAAGCTGGCATTTTAACCTTTCTTTTTCTGCTCTGTCTTGGGTTAAACATCTGATCACATTGTTGTTTGCTTGGTACACATGGTAGCCATGACAGGTGACTAATTAAATGAAGTTGGATGTGTTGTGAAAAAAACTAGACATCGTACAGCCTAGCTGTAAACAATGTCCCAACCGCTTTTTTAATGGTTAAGGCAGACTTTCATACCCATCCATAAACTATAACTTAATTTATTCTCCAGAGATTACTGTCATAACACAGTATAGATCCATCAGTATCTACACAATCTAACGTGTACATGTCTACAGCTCATGCAACATCTGGTTGTTACTTATGCTGTGTCCCTGTTCATACAATGTATTGATGAAAAACAAAAAATTGAGGGGAAAAAAATCAATGTAACTGCTTAGTAGAGTAGAACTATTACTAGGTCTTATAATGGAAGGAAAGAATACTGTCTGTTCATTATCACTCTGTAAGGGAAGCAAAGAACTAACACTGCAACCTTCAATGTCACCCATGTTTTATCGAATTTATAAGGCAAGCAAATAGTAACGTTTCCTCTCATTACTGAGGCCTTTATAAAAAGGAAGTATAGTAATTTTAGTTGCAAGGTCTGAATATAAGGGAAGCTAAGAAAAGTAACACTAAAAGTTTTTCTTTTAACTTACTGAGGTCTGTATATGGAGAGGAGTATATAACACTTGTTTCCTGTTACCAAGGCCTTTGTTTAGAACTATAGTAACATTTGTAACTTGTTTCATGTTCCCAGTAACATTTGTAACTTGTTTCATGTTCCCAAGGCCTGTACATAAGGAAAGTATAGTAACACTAACTTGTTTCCTTTTACCAAGGCCTGTGTTTAGAACTATAACTATAGTAACACTTCTAACTTGTTTCATGTTCCCAAGGCCTGTACATAAGGAAAGTATAGTAACACTAACTTGTTTTCCTGTTAACAATGGCAATTGTATAAGGAAAGTATAGTAATGCTGTAGCGTTATCAAGACCTCTCCATATAGGGGAAGTTTAATACTAACTTGTTTACTGTTGCTAACGCCTGTGTTTCAGGGAAGTAACTGTAACCATTCTGTAATCTTGTTGCCAAAGCTATATTCTGTATCAGGTCTTTGCTGGTGCCCCATGGTGCGTCATGTAAGGATGCTCCTGTGGGTGAGATTTCAACCGGAAGTTTGGGTAGTCCTGTAATATCTATATAAATTACAACATGCAGCAGGGTTAGCAAGACCTGTTAGATGATGTAAGTGCTAAGTGTCCTCAGTTTGAAAAAGTCTGGGATAGGCATTTCTGCCAAGCCTATTTATACTGTCATGTTCTGGTCTATATCTCTAGTTTGTCTTCATGGATTGCTTAATGAGTGTATGTGCCTCTTTAAAGCTGTTAGATGTGTGGGGACTGGTCTAGATTTCTTGCAGAAAGCAGGAGGATTCCTTCCACCTCATTGTCTTATCAGGTTAAGGCCCACGTTTTGACTTGCAGCATTCATTGGGTGTTCTAGTCACTATACCTGTTTCTTACTCTTCCTTGCACTTGTTTAGGCTGCCCTGGGAACCAAGTTAATTTAATAAAGGTCGGCATGAGTGAGAATATAAATTTCTTCGGGCTTGTGTATACACAAACTACGTTTAGGCTGTGTGATGGTAAAAGATTATGTAACATCTGCAACTGTTATAAAACTTTTGTATTTGATACTTCCAGTTTCATGCCAGATGTGAATGTAGCTGGAGATGTAGTGATCCATGGTGCTAGCCCTGTTATAAAACTTTTTTGTATTTGATGCCTTTAGTTACGTGCCAGATGTGAATGTAGCTGGAGATGAAGTGATCCATGGTGCTCGCCCCAAGCCTTTCATGGTTTACCGCAATCTGGACCTTCTGGATGTGCCCAATATTCAGTCTGTTGTGAAGGTAAGGGCAGATCTTTCCATGTGAATATTATTCGATTATTCTTGTCAGCATTCTGCTTGTCACCATGTTGTGGTCCATCAGTAACCCTTGACCTCTGAGTTATTTGCTGACCGTTGATGTGGTTGCCAGCCATCCATGATTTGTAATGACTCACATTTTTACCTTGGTCGAGTCTGGGAAAGTAAAAGTCGCAGGGACCTAAGAAAATGCTTCCACTTATCAGGACTTCTACTTATCCAGACAGCACACACAATAGAGAAAACTTATCCAGACAGCACAAACAATAGAGACAATCCAGGGACTAAGCTGGTCATGTCAACTTAACCAAAGTTCGACTTATCTGAGTTAGACTTAAGTGAACTCAACTGTAGTAGCTCTTTTCTTTCAGTAAACTATTTATCTGTAAATATACATTTTCAGCCATCTCACTTTACCATCAGATTCAACATGTCTCTTTATTTACATGTGACATAACAATTTTGTCTTCAGTTCTTTGTTCTTTAAAAAAAAAAATTACGATGCATATCCTTTACAGAATGCTGCATATAAACTCCAGCATTTTTGTGTGTGCTGTGATTCTAGGCAGCTTTATGTTAGTAGTTTATCAGTGCTTTTTGAATAGTCAGCTCTTGATACCACTGTTGAAACCAAAGCAATGCGGTCTGCTGCCAAAGCACTCACAGCTGGGATCAGGCCGGACACCTCAAAGAATTGTGCCTGTAACGTGCTTTATTCACCATTATTAAAGGGTGTCTGTGGTGAAATGAAGTCATTTGCTTCATGCTCTTAAGTGTAGAATCATTTCATGCACTGCATTGTTGAGTGCCATATTTATGGAGATCCTTGGGGATTGTTGCTTGAGCTTTGAGTTTGTGCTTTATTGATGCATGCAGTTAGGAATTCTTTAGAGAGCTACCCTTAAATTTGTTCAGCAAACCACCAGATAGGAAAAGCTGGTCTAAAAATGTAGGGAGAAAATCAGATACCTCCTGGGAGTCATAGTAACACAGATGCTTGCCTGGTGACCTGACAAGTCTTGGGTTTGTCACTTTGCATAAATGACCTGGTGGTGGTCAGGATACATAAATGACCTGGTGGTGGTCAGGATAAGTGGGTACCAGGATATGTCCTGGGAGGTAATGGTGGCTGGTAAGATGACCCAATATCACCCATTAAGAGCCTGCCGACATAGGTCTTGGGTAGTGGGCGATCCTAATAGATTCGGGCTCTCAGGTTGTCCCCAGTAGAAAATGGGTGCCAGAATATTGACTGATCGCGTCGGGATAAAATCATACCTATCAGGTGCCTGCCGGCTGATCTAAAAATAAAGCCAGTACAGTGACCACATAACCCATTGCTGATTGGTCTGACAGATCTAGCACCACATATTTGATGCATAATATAGTGAAAGGGATGTTATTTTTCCACTTTACCTGTACCCACTATACTTTAGATAGGGCTGTTCAACTAATTTTACTCAGGGGCAAAATGTCTGAACCCCACCATTGAAAAATCATTTATACGGTATAATCGGCTATGATCCATGGCCCCTTTCTAGGCCTCTGAGGGCCAGGTTTGTCCATAGACCACCAGTTAAATATCCCTGCCCTAAGACATAATAGGGCCTTTAATTTTATTAAAGCCTAATTTTCTGTTGTTGGGGAAAGTTGTGCATGTGCTACTGTCTTAATTCCCTAACCCCCCTCTTAACTATAGGCTGTTATTATTGCAGGTTGACGACACTGTGTCCGGTGTTGGTGAGGCACTGTCTGCAGGATGCTGGGGTGTCGGAGTTGCCCGCCACAGCAACTACATGGACATCAACAGCCTAGAAGAGGAAGCCCAGTTGTCTGAGGAGGATATCCAGAAGAGGGTAGCCCACTCCAGAAGTCTGCTCATTCAGACAGGTGCTCACTACGTCATCGACACCATCAAGGAGCTTCCAGGAGTCGTCGCTGATATTAACACCAGATTGGCAAGAGGAGAGAGACCATAATCTCTTTGTTTGCCTAACTTAATTTTGAGAATTTGTTACCTATTTTATTAAACCAGTGATTATGAAAAATTAGTTTGAAAGTTCTTTTTTGTCTGCATAAGGTTCGTTTTTGTCGATGGTATATTTTCATGTCTTCGCTGTTTGCCAGATGCATATTTCAACAAATCCTTAGTCACTTTTTACACCTTATGGGGCAGTGAGTTTATTCTTGTTTCGCTAAAATGGAGCCCTTAAATCCCTATAGTATATTTAATGTATGCATGGTAGCCATTATAACTCTTTGTTTCTTGCATATTTATTGCTTTTAGCTCTAAACTCTTTGTGTAGCAGTTTTACAGTTTAAAACTGCTTGGAAGTGAGTCTGTTCTGACATGAATATAGTTTGACTTGCCGGTGTTCCAAGTTTCCAATTTAGTTTTGAAGCTCTTTTTTTTTTTTTTTTTTGGGAAGGCTTTTTGGGTGATAATCATAAGTACATTGTCTTGAAGAGGCACATTTGTCCCATAAGCATGGTTTCATTCCTGATGTTCCCGGGAAACCGTTCTATACTCACTAACAACGCAGTTCTTCATATTAGGTACTGGTGCCCTGTGTTTAGTTTGGCCTAAATGTAACTGGGAGTGTGGGGTCTTGATTGGTTTGTTTTTCCCATTATGCTTAGTGGAGTTTTGACTTCTACACTTTAGGACAGAATACCCTACCCCTCAAGCCTTCCCCATCTTCTTTCCTGTGTATTGGCACACACCTATTTATATTTCCTGTCTGGCTAACTTTCTCATTTTAACAGCTCTTTGCTGTCTTACCCCTCAACACTATTCTTCTATTCATGCTTTTTCTTTTCCATCACCCTGCTTTCCTTCTGTTTTTTTTTTTCCTTTCTTTTAGCACTTTCCTCTTCACTTTCATTTCTTTTCCAGTCTGTCTTTCCCTGTTCTCACACATTCTTTCTCTACAGCTTTCTTACACCTTAGTGGCTTATGCAGTTGAGTGGCCTAAACTTCTTAGGAAGTCACATGAGATACCTGGGACTTGCTATAAAGTCAACTGAAACTGTCTGGTATAAAGGTTTCCAGGAATTTAATTTTTTTTTTTTAAACTGAAGATAGGAAATCTGTGCAGTGATGGTTAAACTTGGTAACAACGCAAAACTAGCAAAAAGGGATTGAACAGTTAAGGACATCTTTATGCAGGGGCTAGGACTCTCAATGGGGACCTGGTGGTTACCTGAGTTATCTTATTAAAAATATAACATGGAAATGGGTCTTTTTTTTTGGCTCATTTACATGGAACATACAAGTTATATTTAAATGGCCACCAGAATGGATTCCATAAAGTTACTAGAGATGTTCACCACAGTGCTCATGGGTATAAAGGAAAATAGAATATCTAAGAAAGGTCTCCCCTGGTGTTCGAAGGTAAATAAAAAAGACTATACTAGGCACATAATAATAGGAAAGGCGAACACATGCCAGTCACTGGAAAAATAGTGATTTGATTAAGGAAACCAGGATGTCCAAGCATAAAACAAATGACGATAGTGGTCACATCTGCTGCCTGGATTCCATCTTCTTCGCGTTCACCAGCTGTACACTCTGGCGGAAAGTTCTGGTTGCTCGTCCACTACTGAACTGCAGTCCTGCTCCAGAACCTGAGTGTTGCGTGTGCATCAGTTTTACAGATCTCATTGTATTCTCTTGAATACAGACTGTTGGTTCCTTGCCTCTCCAGCAGATGCACTCCGACTTCAAAGGAAGCTCCCCAATTAGTCGACTCTTACGACATGCTTGTTGGGGAGGCAGTGGGTCTATTCTTGTTTTCCCCATAATGGGGCCCTGGAACCCACAGAGAGAGAGAGAGAGGGGGGGGGGGGGGGGGGGGTGGGATTCCATCTATTATATGAAGCAGATTGCTCAGGTTAGAACAGAGTGGAGGAATACATTACCCCCACTAACATCGATTCCATATCACTCACCAGAATGAAACTCAGGAGTTAAGATCGGCATAGCCAAAACCGAGAGACACCCTGGGCATATAAAAAGACTTATCAACAAAGAACCAGCACTGTTAGTCACAGGATGATGGGGTTCATATTGAGGGAAGGATTTGAGCACCTACGGACATGTCCGTAGTGTAATGATCTTATCACAATTGACTCATTTCTCCCACTATATGACATAATGGCACAACATGATGTTGAATTTATGCCTAACTCAAGGCATGGAAATAATTGGGCATGGCACAACTTATGTTGAATTTATGCTTAACTTAAGGCATGGGAATAATTTGCATACCTATTGATATGAGCTGAAGTAGTGCTTTGCTTGTATGTCAGAATATTTGAATAAATGACTGAATTAAAGTTGCCCAGAAAATTAAAAAGTTGTAATCAACTAAAACACTTCTGAAATTCATCAGATTAACTAAATTTGTATTAGGAAAAAATATAAAACCGAACGAAAAGTATATTAGCAAGCTTCACAATATAACAAATAGAAACAAAACATAAACGTTGTGGCTACTGAGCCTTCATCAGCACACACAAATTAAACAATACTACATAGAAACACAAAATCACTTAGCTGGTATCTCGATGCAGCCGGGTTGGTTGTTACCTAAATTCAGAAACTTTCTGTATAAGTAGTTAAAACAGGTAATATCTTTGTTCAGTGTTTCAGATTACTTCATCAAGCCAAGCTTTCTGTGTAATGGTGGCTGTAAGATTTTTTGGACAATGAGACAATATTGGTTTATACTTTAAATTCATCCCTCAGTGAACTTTTTTTTTTTTTTTTGTCCATAGTAACTTCTGCCCTGCTATCCCACAAATGTATAGTAGAGAGTCCCCTTTGCTGGTCAAACGAGGTCAACATTTGAAAATTATGCAATCCAGTTATGTTTCTGTTATGTGTCCACAACTGTACTTATTGTTGCATATACCTCCTTTATTGTAGTAGAATGAGCAATTTGAATTGTCACCATTATGTAAGAGAACACCTTTCAAACTTTTTTTAGAGCTGTCAATAAAAAGTCACCCCTCATAGGGTTAGAATTTACCCTTATTTCATTTACAAGACCTATCATAGTACAAAACACAAGGTTGTTTTCATTACAAAAGAATGGAAGAAAACCTTACTTTCTTCTGCAATAAAATGTAACATTTGTCTTAGCAGTTAGTATATTTTCCCAAATTTCAATCTTGAAGCCAAACATTCTGGAGGTTCTCTGGAGAGATGGGGATATCAGATTAGTAGAAAATTCAGTTAGAGCTTTTTTTTATTACTAGAACCAATAACAAATTTAGCATATCTTCGGCACATAACAGATGCTGGCAGTATTGAAACATAAATCAGAACGAACAGGAATGGCTAAAATTGTATCAAAAAAAGATCACAAAAATAATTCTTCTTCTTCAGCTGTAAATTCTGGTGGAAAGTTCTGGTTGTTCATCCACTTCTGAACTGCAGTCCTGCTCCAGAACCTGAGTGTTGTGTGTGCATCAGTTTTACAGATCTGATTCACTTGAATGCAGACTGTTGGTTCCTTACCTCTCAGGCAGATGCACTTCAAAGAAAGCTCCCCAATTAGTCGACTCTTACGACATGCTTTTGGGGAAGTGGTGGGTCTATTCTTGTTTTCCCCACGATGGGGCCCCGGAACCCACACAGGGAGCAAAAAATCATTGACAGCTAAGGAGATAAAACAACATTACTGTTTGCCCAGGTGTGTAGATCCAGGAGATGGAGGTTAACTGCGACTTCTGAATGCTTTCTACCTATTCAGAGAGTAGACTACCTGTCAAGAATCTTCTTGCGCTGTCTTTCTCTGTCTCTCTTTGCACCATAAGTCACAACATGTTCCAGTTTCCATCTTCTAATAAAATGGCCAAATAATGATGAATGTCTCCTCCTGATGTCTGTGATAGGCCTAGGTTATCTTCGAGCTCACGCCTGTTTTAAAACATCTGGGCTGCCATTTTTAGCTGTCCAGTGGAATTTTCTGTAAAACCACATCTTCGAGTTTTCAAGATATTGTTATCACTTTCCAGCATTTACAGTCGTTTATTAAAACTGGCTCTGTGTGGCAAGTATTTTTTCCTTACCTATAATGACATGGTTTTATGGCACAGAATGTTCTTTATTTTATAAATTATGGCTCCTATTTTGTTCTTTACCTATGTGACACATCTTCCATATGTTGTTATCCATGTGACTAGATGTTAAAATTTCTTTACCTGTTATAAAATAATGTCTTTGACTTTTACTATAAATTTAAACCAAATTCTTTTCTTGAAAATCACCATTATTTTTGTCATCCCATTTTTCAAACTGAGAGCCATTTTACCACCACCGCATTTTAAACAATTCCTGTAGTTTTTTTACTGACTTGTCGCAATCAAGACAGTGTCATCAGCATAACGCAGGTTGTTTATATTATGACCACCAACTACAGGTCCGGGCATATCCTTGATCGATCTCATTATATATTCACTGTATTATAAAAACAAACCAAGTCATGGTCCACAACCTTGTCGTACTCACCACTTTCTGCTCTAACATGCTTCTGAAACTGACATCTCAATCCTACTAATTATACTTTTTTTTAAATGGAGGGGATAGCGCGAACGCAGTCCCCCTTACGAAAAAATTACGCACTCGAGTCACCCACATTTGGGGTGATCGCAGGTGTCAACCCAACCGAAGTGCAATGGAAGGGCCTCTTCCTGGGAGCACGACCTTGATGATCATCGTAGCTCCTGTGCCAGGTAAGTATGCATTTCAGATGTGCAAATTTTGCCCCAGGCGCCAACTAAAGCAAGATTTTTAAAGTGTCGTTGTATTGAATGCACCAAATTAGTTATTCATTGTTCCCTAAGTTCTTGCATAAATTATACAGTTTTTATTAAAAGTAATAATTTTAATAAAAATTGTACATTCGTAAATTAGAGTCTTGCGTTTCCGCTGTCAGAACACAGAAGCAGATGTTTCTAGTATTCTGCTAGG